TTAGTCTTGAATATAACACTAAACAATGCAGTAAGCCATTCCAAGTTTGCTCTACCCACACACCTCCACAGTTCAACCGGAATTTCGTCTGGCCCGGTAGCTCTGCCCCTNTCAGCTCCATAAGACCTCCCTAGGAACCTTATCATACGCTTTCTCCAGATCAATAAACACCATGTGGAGATCCTTCTTCCTATCCCTGTACTGTTACACCATCCTCCTAATAAGGTGGATAGCTTCTGTGGTAGATCGCCCCGGCATGAACCCGAACTGGTTGTCTGAAATAGACACCGTCCTTCGCACTCTCATTTCTACCACTCTCTCCCAAACTTTCATGGTATGACTTAGTAATTTGATGCCCCTATAGTTGTTACAGCTTTGGACATCACCTTTGTTCTTATACAACGGGACTGTTGTACTCCACCTCCACTTTTCAGGCATCCTATTAGTCTTGAATATAACACTAAACAATGCAGTAAGCCATTCCAAGCCTGCTCTACCCACACACCTCCACAGTTCAACCGGAATTTCGTCTGGCCCGGTAGCTCTGCCCCTTCTCATCTTACGCATTGCCTCCATGACTTCATCGATCTCAATGTCCCTACAATTACTTAATTCATGGTGACTGTCGGCATTCCTCAATTCCCCAAGTATAATATCCTGATCCCCTTCTTCACTTAGAAGTTTATGAAAGTAGGTCTGCCACCTCCTCTTAATCTGGTCATCTCCCATCAAAACTTTGCCGTCATCATCTTTTATGCACCTCACTTGGTCCAGATCCCGAGTTGTCCTCTCTCTCGCCTTAGCGAGTCGGAATAACTTCTTCTCTCCACCTTTGTTCCTTAGTTCCTCATACAGACGAGCAAAAGTTGTCGTCTTAGCCTCCGTCACTGCCATACTCGCCTCCTTCCTAGCTACCTTATACCTTTGATTGTTCTCTCTCTTCTCCTCCTCGTCAGTGCTCCCTACTAACTGCAGGTAAGCCGCCTTCTTTGCTTCCACTTTACCTTGGACAACTGCATTCCACCGCCAATCTCTCCTTTGTGGCTGCCTTCTTTATTCTATTATACAACAAAGATCGCATTTCTCTCTATATTCTCTTTATTTTTATTTTACCGACTTTGTTTTATAACAGTTTCGACACAATTCCAAAAATTACTTTTTTCAAGTTTAACCAAACTTATGTCCAAACCTAAAAGATGCTGATAAATTAACGGAAAAAGCAAACTCCGGCAGACAAACGCCAGGTTCTTTCTTCTTTTTTTCTCCGGCAACTTCCTCGGCGATTTCTTTCCGGCGACATCGAGTTGTTAGTTGTAGGTACCTTCTATATCTTTCTTCCTTCTCTCTGGATTTTTTATACTCAGTACAACCCTCCCCCCCCTCCCCCCAGAAAAAAAAAAGAAAAGAAGAGGCCCTAATTCCTTACCCTAATGGCTAATGTGTAGTAGCAAACTAGCAATAGTGAATTAGTTAACAATATTTTGTGTTTGCTTCCCCTGCATAAAGAGTTTTTAAAAATATGCATTACTATTTGCTATAAACAACAACCATGACTCAATCTCAAGCAAGTTAGCGTCGGCTTCATGAATCCTCACTGCCCATGTTGCAATTTGCATTATCTTAATTTATTTTCAATCTATGTCTGTCTACCTGCATTAGATATCTTGTATTTGTTGTGTAGACAAAAGCTTAGCTAGTTTCCTTAATATTCCAGGTTATTTGGCTTCGGCAAAAGAAGCATTGATGAAGCCGCAGTCGGCATGGGGCTCACTAAAGAACCCGGTGAAGTTCAAGATGTAACACTCCTTATTCCTTATTATACAAATATGTTGTGATGGTATAAGACATGAATAATTCCTAGTGTTTAACAAAAAGTATATGCATATTTACAGTCCAACCGCGGAGAGTCTTGTTCCTATTCGTCTGGACATTGAAATTGATGGTCAAAGATTTAGAGATGCTTTTAGTTGGAATCCAAATGGTACGTTTTTATTATTATTTTTTTAGTTTTAACCACCATATAAACATTGATACAGCAATATGCACTCAATTTGATGCTTCTGTTTCAGACTGTAGGTTGCAACTGGCTGCTTTCTTGTATGCACAGTTGATGTTCTTAATTAGTAGTTGCTGCCAATAAATGCTGATATCTTTTATTCTAAATGTTGAATGCTACCACAGCTCATCTGTACCGTCAAAATGAAAATTTTAGTTTTTCACTACAATGATCAAGAATCATTAGTGAGCAAATTTGTGAAAAAGTGGAGTGGACATGCCCATTCCAGGTAAGGGATACATAATTAACTAAATTTTCATTTGTTTTTGTATCTGGGAGGCGCTACAATATTGAATGTGCATCTAAGCTGCTAAACATAAGTTTTTATGAAGGCATTCTCTGGAAAATAGCTGGCAAACAATGGAATTTCGGTACATGACTTTTTTATTTTAGTTTAGACATTACCAAACCATTTCCTTAATTTTGTGGGGTTGACTTTATAGTGCTCTGAAGATCTTTTTAGCACATGAAGATCCTTATAAGGGATTCTCTGTTGTGATAAAGATTGGATCTTATTAGGTTGCCTGATCCTTCAACATGGCTTTATGAAGTAAATGAACTTCGCGGAGTGCTATTATGAAAAGCAGAGTATAACATTATAGAGCTTATGTCCTGGCAAAAGATAGCTTGAAAACGACTGCACACTCTGATTTTTGATAGTTCTGGTACTTATTTGCTTTTTCCTATGTGATGCTTCATATACAAAGCCATTTGTATTGTCTCCAGTGAACGGTTCTGCTGATCACCTTTAAAGAAAGAAAATTTGTAGTTGAGTTTTCCTAATATCATTTTGAACTGACCTGGTTATTGTCCCTCTCTGAACTTATTAACTGCAGATCCTGACTCAGAAGTGGTGGTTTTCGCGAAAAGAACTGTTAAGGACTTGAAGCTTCCTCCTGGGTTTATCACTCAGATTGCTCAATCCATTCAAGTAATTTATAAGTCATAAACCAGTACATGTTGTATGCACCATTTCATCATCTTTCTTCATGCTTAGTGGTATAAATAGTATTCATGGTGTATTGCTCGAAAGAACAGGATGTATGACTCTAATTGCTGCTTGCATACTTGGGTTTAGTTTACATAGGATTCATGGTGGGAGATTGGGGTTTAATTTTAAACATGTCTCTGACTATCTCTTCTAAAGGCTTAAGTTGTTGGAAAGAGCACACCTTATTTACTTAATTATTATCTTAACAACCCCCCCCCCCCCCCCC